TATTTTTATCAGTACTTTGTGTACGAAGTTTACAACACTATTTAAAATAAAAGTTTAAATATCTTGTATTGTTTTGCAGACATCCTTCAAATCTGATGTTAGATCGTCTGAGTGGTAAAATTCTACATATTGACTTTGGTGATTGCTTTGAAGTGGCAATGACTAGAGAGAAGTTTCCTGAAAAGATTCCCTTCAGGCTTACAAGAATGCTTATTAATGCAATGGAGGTAAGTATAGATTTTCAAGGGAATATGACAGTTGGTAATAAAATAATATATAATGTCTAATCACATAAATGAAGACAAAGAAAACTAAAACTGATCTAGAATCAGGTCACATAAGAATGGCACTACAGAAAAATTCCTAACCACATCTCCAGATATAGAAATTCAGTGGAATAATTTGGAATTATTTTGTGCAGGTGACAGGCATTGAAGGAACATATAGACAGACTTGCGAGTCTGTGATGGTAGTATTGCATCGGAACAAGGACAGTCTGATGGCTGTGCTGGAGGCATTTGTGTATGATCCTCTGCTCAACTGGCGCCTGATGGACAGTGCAGCACCCAAAGCTAAACGGTCCAAGGCACAGACTGATTCTTCCATTTCATCGTCCTCACAAGAACATGGAGATATTTTGGATAGTGGGGGCAGCCTTAGTGCTACTGTACCTAAGAAGGGAGCTCCTAGCAGTGTAGAAAATGGAGGTGAGTTTTTGTATTTATTTAAATTGTCGACAAATATAAATTTTTAATTCTAAAATTGCAGTTTTCATACCAATGTCCAAGCCAGTATTTTGAAGATGTACTGAACATCCAGCATTATTTTATAAAATTTATAATTTTTAGTTATAGTGTGGGGATCAGGGCAGTAAGCACCTCTGAAATGTTCGTCAGTTTCTGTGAGACTACATGGCACAACATCTCAGGAGACGGCCATCTTCATCTTACCAGTAATACATTGTTTTGTTAAAAAAGGGATCTTATGCAATCTTGAATGTCGATTAGGAGACGGCAGCCAACCAGAAGCTCTTAACAAGAAAGCATTAGCCATTATCAAAAGAGTACGTGAGAAGCTGACAGGACGAGACTTCTTGAATGAGGAGATGCTGACAGTGCAGAAACAAGTAGACTTACTGATCCAGCAGGCCACATCCAATGAGAATCTCTGCCAGTGCTACATTGGCTGGTAAGTATTCAATTTTTTACATGGATGACAAGAGAGCTTTTTGTTATTCCGATTTAAAGTCCAAGGACTTTGTGGTCTAGGGTTAAGGCACTGGACCTCAGTGCCATAGGTGTTGAGTTAGGACCAGGTGAATCTACGGAGGATTTCACTGCTTTTGTCCCACATTAAGGTACAGGTCCTATCTGCCAGGTATCAACAAATCCACAAGAAAACTGAAAGGTGAATGAATGGTTGAATGATGTAAGTAGTGTTCACCTATCATCAGTAGTAAATGCAATCCTACCATGTGGACAGGAATAGATGATTGAACTTTGCCATCCAGGCAGAAGCAAATGAGGTGTTTCACTTATTTTGAATTACTTTAACTGTATTGACAGTATACCTAAAAATATTTTTTCATAATTTCTAGGTGTCCATTTTGGTGAACCCTCATCATATTTTGTTTTCAAGAGAAACGTCTAGCAGAAGCTGCTACATATGTACATAGTGTAAGATGTATAGGATTAGGCTTGTCAACTCTTGATTATTCACAGTGAACAGTAGCAAGTTAGCTGAGATTTGAGGCTCATACATTGATGACTATGAAGATGGCTGTTTGTTGAGATGTTGCATCATGTTGACATTGATTGACATATCAGAGGAACTTCTTCCTTCCATCACTAGAGTGATGAGGTATTAAGCTCCTCTGAAATGTCAGTCAGTAACTGCTAGACTAAACAGTGAAACATCACAGCCATCTTCAATAGTAAGTTATCTGTGAACTCTGCATTCATGTAAACTTTATCATCGTTGCTGCATCCTTTTGCATATATGATAACATTTTCTTCAGTGTTATTAGTTATAACAGGAACAAACATGTGTTATTTTAACTGAGATCAATCTCACAGGTTACACAAATTATCTGCCATACCTTAATAATAATTCGAAGATTTCTGTCTTCTGGGTTGTTGCGCTGAAATCTTCATACTCACCGCTGTGAAAACCTCAAATCTTACATAATAATAATTCCTTTGAGTTTTCTCAAATGTAATTAAAATATGGGATATACCCATATCAGGATTATTAGTGAATATAAATTATTTACTACTTTAAAAACATACTTGGTAAAACCTATTGAAATCTAAAGATGAATGAAGTGTGAATGCAAGAATGAAAATACTCTGCCTATTTTTTCTAGGTATAGTCTGGCAGCACTTTTATTTGGTGCTTTACCATCTTAGTAAAATGTTATTAGCAGACTGACTGAAAGAATAATATAGGGTAAACAGAAAAATCATGAAATTTGTGTAATATTTTGAACTAATTTGTTAATAATTATGTTTGTTTCTGCTATTGGATGGAATTACTTCCTTTAAGTAAATACATAGGTAGAATTGTTAACCTTCCTTCTCCTACATTTTCCTTTCACACAGCTGCGTAAATGTACACTACAAATGAATTTCAGATATATTCTGGCTTTTTGTCACATACTTCTATGGGTTTTACTTCACTGAAATTTATATTTTTGTAAATAGTCAAGAGTTGACCATTGTTATTGTAAGTTAGAATTAAATTAACAATAAAAAGATTACACTTTTTTTACATTCACTTTGTGTAGATACTGGTCATAACTAATGTTTCATTTGTGATAAAAATGCTGAATGGCATTAGCAAAAACAAGGCATATGAAATGTAGATAATTTTACTGTTTGTATTTCATATATTTCACATTCCATGGATGTTTCATGGTTTGAATTAATTTTTTTTATGTAAGTGGTGATTTGTTTTGTTTTAGAACAATATATTTGAACTGATTAGGTACATTACAATATCTAAACTTGTGACCAGGAGATTGGTGAGCATAGTGGATATATTCCTCTTGAAATTTTGAGTAATATCCTTAACTGATGTTTCCTCTCCAATGAGTTATTAGCATGTTGTGTGTGTGTGTGTGTGTGTGCACGTGCATGCACATGAATGAGACTGAGAATCCTATTATTGCTATGTAATTTCTGACCTTGTCACATGAGTGTTACCATACCAATTCTAATTGAAAGAGTTTAAAAAAGATTCATGGATTCTTATAAGAACTATTAAGATGTAAATGGAGATATGGGTAGAATTTTAACTTGGGCATCCTGAATGACCATCATCCTACAACACTTGTATTCTGCATGCATTATCTAACAGTCAACCCCTTCCAGTTATGTTTAATCTCTCAAAGCCCCTCTTAGTAAAACTGGAGGTTCTTGTGGTGGTGAGAACAAAGGTGGCGGCTGTCTTCTGGGTTAGCATCATCTAAGTTCACTATTTTTCTAAGCAGTTAACATACAAGAAAATAGTTATGCAGGATTTGAGGTTTTCACAGCAGCAATTTTCAAATATGTATGCATTGTGTAAATATATATATTTGATTACAAAGGCACAAAAAATTGGCTTCTTTTCTCCCCACTGTCAAAAGCAGCATATAACAAACCTTTCATACATAATTTCTCATATTTTCAAAATATATCATGTTCAGCATATAATATTAACAGAAAAATACTATGAAGAAACTTCAAGTTTTGAATATCATGAATTAATCAAATCAGTCATGATTATGTACAAACAGTTCATGGTTAACATAATACAGAGATTGTTTTTGGAGCACCACTCATTTAGCATTTTAGTAAAGAAGATTATCTCCTTTACATTGTTTCATGTTGATATTTCTTAACACAGATTTGGTAACAGTTATATTTCTTATTTTAAGAATTAAGTTTACTCTTTTCTTAGAAATTTTATATGAATAAAAATATAGAAGGCAGCATTCCTACTGACATACCAGTTATTTAACAAACTACATCAAATGAAAGTCATAAGTCATTTCTGTTCTGCACCAAGTTGATATCACTACATGCCAAAAGTAATTTATAAAGTTATTTCAATAAAATACATATTTCTGTATATGCCCTTTTTAAAAATTCTTTGGAATACCTGCACATGGATATCACATGGTTACATTATGTTTTAGACTATTATCTCCATAAGAGTATTAATTCTTACCATTATTAAAATAACTTACACATTGGTTGAACCTTAGTACATGCTTACAATTGGTATGACTTAATTGTATTAATAATGTGTTTTAAACTGCATACAGAAAGTATTACATTTATAAAAGCAACAGGTCCTCTTCCATTAAAGTTAAATTATGTAAGGCAAATCAAATTGCAGTCAAAATAGCCAAGGAGTGATCTGGATCCCTAGTCTGTGAGAAGATGTCTCACACAGTATCAACTTTGTGAATTAATTTTTTGTCAGTTAATATTATACAAATAACTTCATATCTGCAAGGAGGTATTGAGAATTATAAACTCCAGGAATAAAACTGAGGTAGCACCTAGACATCTTATTAGAGTCACAGCACATTGTCATGTAGTGCTTTTTTGTTGCTGTTTTTTTTTAAAAAATCTTATTTAATACATAGTTTATTCATGCGAAAAGTTCAATGAGGTGAGAGGATGATTGTCAGTAGCAAATGGGGGGGTGCAAAGTAAGTTGTCAGTATCATTTACCCTTCAGTTTTTAAGTTTAACTGTAAAATCTAGGAATATGTTATTTCACTTAATGTTATAAGAGTGTTACATATGCAAATTTTATAACTATTTATGATGAAGTATCAATGTGATAATTATATCATGACTACTGTAGTGAATATTATTTTCTGTGGCTTCCTTCACCAAGTGAGCCACATGAAACACAAGACATTAAATGAAGGTATCAGGTACTTAATATGCCTCTAATTAACTCTATGGAGCAGAGTCCTTTAGAAGCTCATAGCTGCTAAGATAGTAAAGACGCTACCTACATTTTATGGAACCTGGAAATTAATTACAGTGATCACAAGGGCTTGTCATTGTAGCCAATCCTTAGCCAGCTGAATCCAATCCACATCTCTTGACCAATTATTGTTCTTCATAATATTCAGTTTTAGAAATATGATAAATATATGAAAAAGATATCCCCCTTAGCAGTCTTTTATCTCTAGAGCAGGAAGGATGAAAATAAATTGGAAGTATTAGTAGTGTTGTAATACTGTTCTATGCTTACAAAAAATAACACAGAATTGACTATTATTTTTATTATTATTATAGCTTAAAAGGCAAACAAATTTATTTTCATTTTTCCTTTGCAAAATTACTAGAAATTATGTAACTGACACAGCACATGTTCTTGAGTCAGTTCCAGTCCACCACCCATCCTAATAACCCATTTACCTAAGATTCATCTTTATGCTAGTCTTCTCAGTCTTCAGAGAGATTTTCGCACAAATTGTGTGTGCATGCAATAGCTCCCTTTTCTGAGCTACATATCCAGCCCATACAAATCTATTTCTTAACACAAAATCTGTAGTTGATCTGTATGAATCCAAATAATGTTTGGCTCACCACCTTTTTTTCTTTTAAAGTGTTGAATTAAATTGGTTATTTCTGTAGTGGGCACACAATGGTAAACATTAAAAATGAGGAAATTACTGATGACAAAATGTGGACAAACTTTTAATGTAATATAAGTCATGTAAATGGTTTCTGTTTTGTGAATAACTGTCACTGCCTATTTTATCATGTCTGATTACCAGCATTTTTGTTAGAAATAAAAAGCACTATAAAATTAATTGAATGAACTGTACATTATTAATCCAGTAAGATGAAATCCTGATAACAGTTTTCCACATTTCAGTATCTCTCTATTCTAAATTGTAATGCACTTATATTTATTTCATTATGAAGACTGAGGAGAAATGCTAAAATAAGTTTTCATTTATGACCTCCAGAAAAATAACGAATTGTGAAAATGTATCAAGAAAAATAAAATATGATGCATAACTTCATTTAAAAGGGCAACAGTTTTCCCCACTGCGCACATTACTTCTACAAGCCTGTGTAGCAAAATGAAAATTGTTCCCAATGATTAGTGTTCATAGATTGCAAAAAGAGTAAATTGAGATCTTCTGGGTTATGATCTGCAGTCTTATAGGTGGTTCGCAACATCCGTCTTCAGAGTAGATTATCTATAGTTGTATTATTCCTTAAATTTTATGGCAATGATTCATTGTATTGTACTTTAAGTATGTTCAACACTAAATTATCTGAGTATATTTAAGTCACATAATGTTTTAGGAGTGCCTGTATGTTCATCTTCAGGTAACTGCTTATTATCCATTATAACAACATTTATTTTATATTAGCAACAGAGGTAGGGACTACACCTGGAACCTTGTATGTATTAATTCTGTATGTTAAGCACTCAATGGAAAGGGTCACACTAGTGGTCAAGTGGATGATTAAATATACTTATTTCACTGAAAAGTGTGAAACATTATACAGTACCCCGAATATTGAGGCTGCTTTATGTTCTTATGAAACATTGGAAACCACCTACAAAACTGCATGGTTGTGACAATCTGAATATGCTACATTTAACCCACAATTTGTAATTCTGATTTTTCCAATCTGATCAGTGTACCCACTGTATAGTTTTAATTATGGGCAGACAATTATAGTAGTAATGAAAAGTATATCAGCAAGTCAAGATAGAGCAAGATAATATGACATGGACAAGTAAATTTAGTTCAAAAGCTAAAACTCAAAGGCAGGAGGTCTTTGATTGAAGTTATGAGCACTTTGGATAAATCAGGTTTGACAAGATACACACCAATTTCAGACCCAAACTCTGCAATAAATTGGCGACAGGAACCACAGGGAGAGACAAAAGTATCTCCATTATCAGCTGCTACAACAATTGTTTTGAAATTTTTGTTTCCTGAACTAATAGCTTTCACAATGGCTGTTCGCTCAGCACATATAGAAATTCCGTAAGACGCATTTTCTACATTGCACCCTGTAAATATTGTGCCATCATTGCACAACAGAGCTGCCCCAACCTGGAATTTGCTGTATGGGCAATAAGCAAATTCTCGAGCTGCCACGCCTTTCATAATGAGGTCTTGAGTTGCTGAATCTTGAAAGAATAAATAAAACAAAGTGATTTAACAAATCACGGATGCTGCTGTCAGAACGGTATTTAGATGTCTGTCTTCTGGGATGTGCATGTTGCCTGGTAGAAGATTACTGATGTTTCAGAGGTGCTTGCTGCCTCTAACATCAGGGCACTGGATGAAATGTTGGCCAACTCCTACTGGACTACATGGCACATCCCAGCAGATGACCATCTCTGTAGTTGCTGCCATGTGAACTTAGACCTCACTAAGTGAGTACATTTTTGCAATAAGATGCCCACTTATATGTAAAGTTTGTATTGGTGCTAGCAAACACAAAACCCAAATTTACTTACAGGCTAGAGGCTTTGGTTAGATTATAAATAATTAAGTCTAGAAACTGAAGATAATCTTAATATTCAGTGACAAGTATACATTATCATCATATTGTTAAATTATTCTGGGAGGTATTTCATATTTCCTAACCAAAATACTTCAATTTTGTTTCAATCAGAACAGTGTAGTCTGCTCAAAGTCCAATTCCACAGCACAAGAAAACGACGTCCAAAAATCGACGCACATTTTGACATTTGAAGATAATATTAATTCCCCTTTTATTGAAAGATAATAGACTAGAATAATATACATTCTCTTACTAAGTATTTAAGTATTACTAAGTATTCTCTTACCAAGAGTGACAAAATCGACAATAACCGAATCCATTCCTCTATTAGGTATGTTATCTATGACACAGATAATATCAATACATTTATGCATACGACATAGATAACCTCTAATCTGTGTTCGGGTATGTCATAATTCTTTCCAATATCAATTTAAAATGTAGAATCAAAATTTTAATTAAAATTATTATAACGTAATACAGAGCTCGTTCGAATTTGATTTCATTTTTATTAAAAATTCTTAAAGCGTGATTTATTAATGAGTAATTTTACGAGTATTTATAATAGCAAGTTTAATTCAATCAAATGTGGACAGATACATGATCTGGCAATAATATGGTCATTCTGAACTTGAATGAAGTGATTGAATTTCGGTACAAGTCTCCTGATTCGTTACTTCTATGCACAGATTTGCAATGTAATGTTGCCTCTGTGAGGTAGATGATCCCTATGAATCCAAAGATACACTACGAAACAGCTGGGTTGTGACGTGAAGTGGACGGAAGACAATTGCCAAACAAGCGATACAAGGCTTTGAGTGACTTGACGTATGTTTATTGCTGGAAGGTCAGGTGTTTTATACGTTTATATTATATATTTCATATTTTAAGCACTGAAAGCCCTGTAAAGAAAAGTCGGCCTGCCTTTCCGATCTTAAAATGAGTGAGCTGAGCCAAGAAGAGGTAAACGTTTACTTTTTATTTGTAAATTTTAGAAATTTTGCCTGTCGAAAGTGAAGCTGTAGTACATACAAAGGAAGCATTGGTTAGGAAGGCATCATGATTTGCAAATTCCATTGGCCATTGGCGGTGTTAAATATGCAAGTAGTTGTGAAATAAGTAAATACCTTACAGATAACAACATTATTAACTCTTCGCATTAATGGAAGTCAGTTATATTTGTTATTTTTTAAAAATTGCATTATATTTCAGTTTGTCGTTTAGGCCAAAATAATTGTTAAATATTAAATTATTTATTTTTTTGTTATTTCACGTGCTGTTGTAGATTCGGCGCCGAAGGTTGGCAAGATTAGCAGTCTTGGATATTAGTGCAAGTCCATCGCCTGGTCAGTTAGCTCCTTCACCTAATGCCGGGGTACCAAATTCTCCTTCAGCACCAGGACCATCACATATTAACATCGAAAATGGTTTGTTGTTGAGTTCGATAAGTAATCATTTTAGGTATTTTTTTTATAATTTGTTGTAATATTTCTAACACACTGTTGCAGGACTTCCTCCCCCATTGGGCACTCAAAAAAGTGACTCACAAAGTACAGACACTTCATCCCAAATGGAAGTAGATGATTCACAGTGTGAGAAAAGTTCAGTATCACAAGTAGATGTGGACTCTGGTATAGAAAACATGGAAGTTGAGGAAACTGATCGCAAAGAAGCTGGTGTCAGACACAGAGTGAGTTACAGTCCTCTTATTTCCTCTATATTATTGTCTTATATTAAATTTCATTCTTTTTATTCATTGAAATGTCTGAGATTGGATGTTTTAATGACAGTGAAAATGTGGATTGTTTTCTTTTCAGTTGTCATGTTGGCTGTTAGCAATGTTTTACCTCCATATTTTTGAAGACGGAGACATTTTGTTCCTCTGAAACATTGGTAACTGCCTACAAAACTACATATCACAACCAAGAAGACCACAATCTATGTTAATATGTATCATTCAGGATTATTATCAATCCCTGATAATACAGTAGATTCCTGTTAATTGGGCCATCGGTTAATCAGGGCAGCCATTTATTTGGGACAAATCTTAAAGAACAAACCTTTTTAACTCTTACATGGAACTTCACATAATTGAGGCAGCTGCTTAATTGGGGCCAATGTGTTCTAGTCCTGATGTGTCCTGGTTAACCAGAATCCACTGTAAGTCTTCATATTGTTTTATAATATCAAACTTCTTTTGATAGGTTTCCATTTTGTAGACATATGGAAGACTGGATATTCCAGTTACACTGTGAATGTATTGATGTGGACTATGGGAAGAGTGGAGAGTATCTTGTAATAATAACAGAAATAGGTATTAAACCTGAATGCTGTTTCTAAACATGGCATTTAGCATATTAAAAGTTACAGCAAGTACTCCAAAGAAGTGTGAAAGGCATGGAAGTTATATTACTTTGGTTACAGACTTAACAGTATCAAAGACAAACTTGATTGGTTAAGATATAATAATAAAAATATTTATTTTTCAAGTAAATTGTTTGCTACTTTAAGAATAGATTTTGCTCTTTAATGAGATCTCTATGAAATCTTTGATTATTCTGAGAATCACATTTCTTAATTGACTCAGCCTTTCTGATTTATTTGTTTGATACATGTGATAGGTGTTGTTCCATGCCAGAATCCACAAAGATGGAGTCTGCTTTTTTCTGTACTTGTAATGTGAACAGAGATATTCTCCTACTTTAAAGAAATATTAACTTATATAAATGTTTTGATGTATATACAGTTTTGACAAACCAGGATAGCTCAGTCAGTATAGTGACTACCTACGGGCTGGATGGCTAGGGTTCGATCCCTGACGGGCAGAGGATTTTTTCTTTAGCTTCTGTGTCCAGACCAGCTCTGGGGCCCACTCAGCCTATCCAATGGGTACCGGGGTGCTTTCCCGGGGGTAAAGTGTGGCCAGGGCATGATGCTAACCACTCACCCCTTTCTAGTGCCAAGGTCAAGAATGAGTAGGAGCTATACCTCGTCTCCCCTTAAACAACCTACGTGGCGTGTAGCGGGGCTGCTTTACTTTACTTGCAGTTTTAACATTAGATGTTCATATTTGGATCAGAATAATCATTTATAAAGTTGGTATTATATTTTGCTGTCAATGTAAAGTTACCAGATGATTTGTTTAATAAGGAGCATGTAATTCGAATTGTAGCGTAAAATTTAAAAGCTGTAAATGGATTTCAGTGTGTATTAACACAAATTTTGAATTGTAACAGCATATCTGTTAAATGTTGATTTGTTTTACCAGACATCT